CAGCACTAACATTTCTTAATATATATATATATATATATATATATATATATATATATTAAGAAATGTAAGAAATGTTAACTTTAAACAAGCAAGGGTGCATCTATCTATCATATTAATATAGAAAACAGGTATAATAATATGTAATAATATGTCACAATTTGTTTTTACTGTGTTTTCAATCAAATGGATGCAGCCTTGGCAAACATAAGAGATTCAAATACGTTAACAATATCTTAACGACCCCAAACATTTGAAGTAGAGTATATATCCATAAAAATATAATAAAAATATACATGCAAAATAAAATTAAATAACAATAACTATTTATTATTATTATTATATATACATGCATACATTTAACTGTTCATTACTACAAAGAAAGAAAGAAAGAAAGAAAGAAAGAAAGAAAGAAAGAAAGAAAGAAAGAAAGAAAGAAAGAAAGAAATATTTTAGTTTTGAATTCGTTTTAAAAGTATATTTATTTTTCTTTGCTTTATAGTGAAAATTGCTTGTGTTTATGTGTGTGTGTCTTTCCCTCTCCTTTCATTCGCTCCCTGCGGGGGAGTGAGCAGGTGTCCAGTGACCCAGGAAGAGGGAGACACGGGTGGGCATGCGGTGAAGCGCATCCCTGGCTCAAATGTCCCCAGGAGACGGAGGACAAAATATCCCTCCTTTGTTAGCAGCCATCTCTCACTCGCCCTCTCCTTTCCTTTCTCCCTCTTCCTTCTTTTCTGCTGCAGTGGAACACATTGTGTTCAGGTGTTTCTCCCGACCCCTTCTCCATTACAGGATATTAAGTCCATAGAGCGAGAGCAGGCATTGCGACTGCTCTCTATGCTGAGCCGAGAGTGTCTCTGTGCGAGCGTCTCTCTCAGTGTACTCTCTAATAGAGTTTAAGGGTGAACTTGGAAATGTGGTACCAGAATTGAGATCCTTTCACTAGAACCGTGTCTGACAGCGCTACATACACCTCTTTCACTTCCACTCTCAGCTTCTGGTTGACAAATCCCACTTTTTCCCCAAATGGAATTACCCTCCATTGCGTTTGAAGTCAAAAGGCAGTGTCGCGAGGACCGATGGCCTATCCGCACAAACACAATCAAGCTCTGAGGCGACAAGCAGAAAAATCTTGAAAGCTTCAAATGACTGCATCTTGAATTCGGTAGAGAGAGGAGTCAGGGAAAAAGTTAGAAAAAGCCAAACAGTGTGTCAATCATTTGGACACACTTTCTTCTATGGTGAGGCCAGGCACATGTAAACAGGAAATCTTTTGGTATGGCTGGAGAAAGATTTTTTCAACATTCATGTCAAGAGGCATGACTTGGAGGGAAACGGTAGCTGAAGTAAATACCAAAGATCTTGTGAAACAAATCAAGGAAAGAAAGAAAATATTCGTTTTATTTTCTCCTCATGGACTCACTAACACTGTCTGCAGCTGTCTCTTGTTAGGACATAAGCCTCAGCAACTGCAACATATGCCACAATTCAATGAGACAATTAGGAAAAAACCCACATGCACTTATGTTACATGTTAACGCTTGTGCAAAAAAAAATTCTAAACAATTGCTCTGTTAAAAAACCTACTGATCTGCCCGACAGAGGAGGCATTTTAAACCATGATAGGCTGTTACAACTTAATTATGCTGCATTTATGCAGCAATTATACTCAGTGCAAAAAATGTATCCAAGATGGTGGACAGTTCGAGATAAATGTTAATCATAAGTCTATATTTTACTGCAATAATAATAATAAAATGTATATTTTCATATGATAATAATAAAATATAAAATAGTTAAGTAACTAGTTAAAATTGGGTTTAAAATCCAATTTCTGTGTGCTATTTATTTTTTATTAGTGAATTAAAATATCAGTTAGAGCAGTGGTTCAAGACTTAGTGGATAAATTTTTTTTATATATAAGTATATGTATTTTATTTCTCTTACAATTTCTTCATCATAAAATATTTGGGGGGGAGTATATATTCATTATAAAAATGCTCATAGAGTTATAAAAAGTTATTATTTTACATGATTTCCCCAGGTATAAAAAACATACTTTTAAAATGAGGCTAAATTAAGGCTTCCTCGTTCATACTGGTTTTCCAAGACTGTGGGAATTCTGGTTCTTCAAAGACAAAAAAAATCAAATTAAAATAAAAAAAAAAAAAAAAAATTAAATAAGAAATATGCTGCTTTTTGGTTGTTTTATCCTATATTACATTCTTTTAAGTCATTTTGGACATTTGCAGGGGCCCCCTGTTTAAGAAACCCTTAGCACAATTTTCTTCTCTTATTTGTGATATAAATCTGAGATACATACAGGGCTTCTTTCACAAATATTAACTACATTAAGGAAAGTATATATAAAACCCACAGAATATGCTCCCTAAGGAAGAGTGGGTTGCTCTGGTCATCAGAGATATGAGAGTCACCCCACACATTCATCTCATAATGGAAGCAAATATAACAATCCTACACACTCAGCACTTTGCTTTCCATAATTAAGCCAAAAGGTTTTAATGAAAGTGATTAGATAAGGTCTTCTTAAAGGTTATTTGCACACAACACCTGTTAGTCAGAAGAATATTAATAAATGAGAATAAGTGACAGGAGAGCGTGTGCAGGGAAGATAATGAATGATTCGGCTCTTCATTTTCTCCCTTTCCTTCAAAATGGCTGTCCTTTACCTCATTGTCAGCAGCTTTAATTCTCAATTCAATTCATGAGAAAAAAAATAGTAGAGAGAGGGGGAAAAAACTCCCCCATTTCATTCTCAATTGGACCTGAAAAGAACAACAAGAAACAAATCTGAGGGATTTTAGTGTGAATAAGAATATAATCAAAAAAGCATGGGAGGCCGTGATGACATTCCCCCCCCGCCGAGGCCCCGCTCTGGGAGAGTGGCAGCGGAAGTGTGGCGGGGAGGCCCAGAGGAAGCCTGTCACCTGAGCATTCTTTGAACCATCACAGCTGCTTTGTGGGAATGAATGACGGCACCAAAGAAAAAGAAGGTGGGAGAGAGAGAGAGAGAGAGAGAGAGAGGGAGAGAGAGAGATCATCACTTCCATCACATCTCCAGGTTTCAAGCATGATCAAATTTGCACTTCAAACCGCTGGGGCCTGATAACCAGCCATTGTGTGTGTTCGCTCATGCAAGCGGAGCATTCCAACGATGGCTAGGTAAGGTCTCCTAGCACCCGACACAAAGACGGACCTTCCACTGGAGGGTCCCCTCAGGGCTGCAGAAGCAGTGGAACGGGTATAAAGAGAAAGAGTGCATGCGGATGTATTGACTTCATTCTGCAAGTTATTGACTCTGTGGCCAGTCATGATAAAAGTCAAAAGAGTGTGATAATGGTAATATTGTGCAAGAGAGATGTGTATAATCTATAAGTAATTTATTTTATAGGGTCCTCTACGTTGGACAATCCATATTAAGTTATTGAACATGGTTGCTGATTTCTAGCTGGTTCAAACTGGTCATTTGTACACTCACAATTTTCCAAAAACCAGCTTGAGCACCTTAAGCTTCACTGGAAGCTTGTTTGTTGTTGGTCCAAGATGGCTAATGACCAGCTAGAAACCAGTTACCATGATCCAAAACACAAGTATCAGCTTAAGATGGATTTTTCAGCATGGTAGAGAAAAAGTTCGAGCTTGCTGGATCAGGACTAAAAGGCTGATTGCGGCCCTAGTGTGGCTCCACTCACCGTTCTCACTGTCTGATTTGTTCTCGTGCTCTGTGTCGGTCAGGGTCAGGACTGAGTTGGAGCGGCTGGACAAGCAGGAGTTGCGGCCAGACTTCACACCCCTGCCCCAGAGGCGCATGGCACGTTCCGGTGACATCACCCGCTCGTTCTCAGTGTCCACGTCTGAGCCTGCGCCAACGGAGTAGCCGCGGTGGGGGAGGCCCATCTCTGCGCAGAAGGCCAGGCCACGGCGTGTGGCTGGCTCACATATTCCCAGCTGCCTCAGGTTAAAGTTCTGCCCTGTAAAAGAAACAAACTAATTCAGCATATATCTATACACATGATCCACTACAAACAATCTGCAGGTTCCAAATGTGAATAAAAATTAGCATTGGTGAGTAAATAAAATACTTATTCAGCAGTTGAACTGTACCATTAAAAAATTGCAACGTAATATGTGAGTTTAATTGCTATGAAAGAATGAGAGTTATTTTGCTTATATATCACATGTAAGCAAAGCAAAAACAAGTAAAAAGAAAATATCAGTGTGTATGCTACATCTTTTACCATTTTAATATTAATTGTTCAATTCTTTCAAACCCTAGAAATATATTTATAGACATACACACACTCACACTTCTGCTCAAATGTTTGGAGTTAGAAATTAATACATTTATTGAGCAAAGATGCATTAAATTGATAAAAAGAGACATTTATAATGTTATGTTGAAATGTTCTATTTCAAATAAATGCTTTACTTTTGAACACAAAAAATATTAAGCAGCACAACTGTTTTCAAATTATTTTTTGAGCACCAAATCAGCATATTAAAATTATTTCTGAAGGATCGTGTGACACTGAAGACTGGAGTAATGGCTGCTGAAAATTCAGCTTTGCCCTCACAAGAATGAAATAGTTTATAATATATTAAAATAGAAAACAGTTATTTAATATTTGAATAATACTTCACAATTGTTCTGTTTTTATTTAATTTTGATAAATGCAAATCAATGCAGAATTGGTGAGCATAAGAGACGACTTTTAAAAACATTAAATAATCGTACCAATTTCAAACTTTTGAATTGTAGTGGGTGTATATGAAAATTAATAATACATGCAAAAAAAATTATATAAAAGTAATAATAATAATAATGAAAAATAGCTTTTGCACCCTGTCAGTCTACTCATATGAATCTATACCTATAAATAATTGTAGTTAAACACAATGCTACAAATGCAATACACACACACACATAGATGTGCACACGCACGCACGCACGCACACGCACACGCAGACACGCACACACACACACGCACGCACACACACACACACACACACTTATAATGCAGCAACCGTTTCAAACACAGTAAGACACATTCCACATGCCCTAGTTAAGCAGAGAAAACAATCAATCAAAGAGACACTAAAAAGAGCCCATTTAATGTTCTATTTTGAAGTCTGACTGCTGTTTTCTGCGATTATTTCTCCCATGTGCACTTATAGTATCAAGAGAATGACAAATAAGCTAGAATTCTCTAAATCCCTGGCCACTAGAAGCTCCTTTCTAATACACACACCAAACCCACCCCCCACCCC